GCCGTGAGTGTTTGCCATCAAAGCTCCAGCTCTCCTCGTGTCTCTCCTGACTCTCCATTGCTTCAGAAGTTTCCCCCACACAACTCATATGGATTTGTCTTGATCCTGAAATCCCTAACATTTGAGTGAAATCCAGCAATTTGATCATAGTAATTTAAATATGTTACTTCTAAGGTCTAGACACTGAAATAAACAACTTGAATAAACGACATGAGTCACAAAGCTTTTTCTAATTAGCCTTTAGCCGATGAATGTCAGCCGGATGGCCTGTGAACACGAAGCATTACTAACCGCTGAGTGTGTGACATTTATCCTGTCATGTGTACAGCTGCCATGGACCAAAACACAGCAATTACTATTAGCAATTCTGGATAAAATGAATAATCTAAATTTGATTCTGTCACATAAATATATGCATAACATGTTCCCAAAAAGAAATACAGTCCACAAAACAAAACAGAATACAGATAAGGTTTAGTAATATCACAATGTAAAAGTTAATTGTACTGCATTATTATTTTACTTAAAGTCAGCATTAAAATGTCTAAAGACAACTGCATTTGTATTTGACTTGAGTGCTTACAATATCCCACCTTTTACTACAATTTCTAAACCTATTTTATATGAATATTGTTTTGAAAATTCAACCGTTTCTTTATTTAAAAGTCTAATTTATTTTCATTACTTTGTGTAGGTCATTATTTCAGTCGAGCTGATTATGTGTATAAACGTTGGAAAATTCTGCAGTTTTCTATTGAAAAAGTAAAATAGAAAAGTATTCTTAAAGAATATTTAAAAAACACTTCACTTATTGGAAAGAGGTTGTCCTACCTGCCGTGAGTTGTCATTTGGAGTCACTGGGTCACATGATATGGAAACTATAGAAAGGAAATAAGACTTTAACAAAAGAAAACTACAGAAATTAATGACAATATTCATATAAAATAGAAAAAGTACCACGATTCTAGAATGAAGATGTGTGTCCTACTCATCTAGTTTAGCAATAAAATACTTTTTGATTTGGCGACATAAGCTTTTGGATGTTTTAGATTTTCCAATACAAAACAACACAGATTTTTTTCATGGTGATCTGGGATGGGCGAATCTGGATAATGAGTACTTTTACTTTTGGTACTTTAAGTAAGCTATATTTTGATGCTAATACTTTTCTACACTCTGGTACTTCTACTTTGACTGGAGTAGGCCTAAAACATATGAATACTTCTACTTTTACTCAAGTTCCGGATCTGAGTACTTCTACTTAACTACAAGATCTGAGTACTTCTACTTTTACTCAAGTACCAGATCTGAGTACTTCTACTTTTACTCAACTACAAGATCTGAGTACTTGTACTTTTACTCAAGTTCCAGATCTGAGTACTTCTACTCAACTACAAGATCTGAGTACTTGTACTCTTACTCAAGTACAACATATGAGTACACATGGTACACCACCCAGGACTAGAGCCAAACTGTCTCAACCCATACACCTTGCAGAACCTCCATAACATGTACAGATTCGATGAAGGACCTTTGAGGCGTAGAACGGAAGAAGAGTAAGTTATTCTTACCTGTAATAAAGTACTACTGTGTTTGATGAAAAACCAAATCATGGTTTGCTATATATGAATGATATGTTACAGGAGCAAAACGGGAGACATGGCGGGCAACCAGTTCCTCCTTTGAGGGCCTGTCAAATTGAGTGGACAGGTCCTTTGGGATGGGGATTGTATTCATCTCCTCCACAAAGAGTGTCCTCGAACACTTCCTCAAACACAAGCCTCATCAGCTCACCCACGTACACTGAAAAATATAGCATTCATATAATCATTTATTATTTTAATTAACTTTTGTTATTTCATGTAACACTTTTCATTGTACATATATAATTCAGTGTGGCTATAATCATTTAAAATGTAAGTTATGTTTGTAATAAAAACAACAATATTTGACAACTTACTGCATGTAGGGTCCTTCTTTACAGGCTTTGTGGTATTCTCCCCTCTTTGATTTTGGATAGGCCACTTCGAAGTTCGAACACATGTTGTCCTGCAGCTGTTGTGGCTTGCTCACGGTCAGCATTCTCATTGTGATGCATGGCTGCTCAACACAACCTAGAGAATAGCTCAATAAAATGAGACTTTGTGTTATGACAGCATTTTGAGTCCCTCCTTTTCCATGTGGTAACTACCACCACCTACTTCATTGCTCTGTTGGTGAATAAGAAATAGGGCATGCATACACTGAAGCATGCATCAACAGCCAGCAAGCCTACAATGATAACACCCAGACAGAGAATCACACCTGAACACGCTGGAAGTCCACAATGGTGTTGCTTCCCAGGTGCATGAGTGTGTAGCTCCCAAGTAGCTTCTTAGGGCTAGATACTTGATCGTACTACCTCCATATTGAAAATAAACGAATATAAGAAAATACTTTACATTGTTCAATGTAATTGTCGCCTTTAATTTATGCACCAACGCTAAATTATTCTCTTAAAGTAGTTAAAAGGTAGTTTGGGTAGTAGTACACATCCATTAGCAACTAATATGCAGTATTTGTTTTATACAACTCATGGATTTGTCTTGATCCTGTAATTCCTAACATTTCTTGAGTGAAATCCAGCTACCTGATGGGCAATTTGATCATAGTAATTTAAATATTAGATACTGGATCCTCCCAGCCTCCACCTCTGGAAATAAACAACTTGTACATGTGTGCTGTACAACTCATGCTAGCTAGCTTAACGGTTAGCATTAAATTAGCTCGCTAACGTTTGAGATAACCGTTAAATAACTGCTACTAACGGTTATCTAGCTAGCATATTACCTGTCTAATTAATTACCTTAAATGTTCTCAACCATTTATTATAAATATATAAAGAGGAGTAACGTTTACCTGAGCAGATAATGAATGGCTCTCCATCCGGGTGGTAAACAAAGGAGAGAGAAGTACTCAGATCCTGTACTTTAGTAAAAGTAGAAGTACTCAGATCCTGTACTTGAGTAAAAGTAGAAGTACTCAGATCTTGTACTTGAGTAAAAGTAGAAGTACTCAGATCCTGTACTTGAGTAAAAGTAGAAGTACTCAGATCCTGTACTTGAGTAAAAGTAGAAGTACTCAGATCTTGTACTTGAGTAAAAGTAGAAGTACTCAGATCCTGTACTTGAGTAAAAGTAGAAGTACTCAGATCTTGTACTTGAGAAAAAGTAGAAGTACTCAGATCTTGTAGTTGAGTAAAAGTAGAAGTACTCAGATCTTGTTATTCAGTAAAAGTAGAAGTACTCAGATCTTGTACTTGAGTAAAAGTAGAAGTACTCAGATTTTGTACTTGAGTAAAAGTAGAAGTACTCAGATCTTGTACTTGAGTAAAAGTAGAAGTACTCAGATTTTGTACTTGAGTAAAAGTAGAAGTACTCAGATCTTGTTATTCAGTAAAAGTAGAAGTACTCAGATCTTGTACTTGAGTAAAAGTAGAAGTACTCAGATCCTGTACTTGAGTAAAAGTAGAAGTACTTAGATCCTGTACTTGAGTAAAAGTAGAAGTACTCAGATATTGTACTTGAGTAAAGTAGAAGTACTCAGATCTTGTACTTGAGTAAAAGTAGAAGTACTCAGATTTTGTACTTGAGTAAAAGTAGAAGTACTCAGATCTTGTACTTGAGTAAAAGTAGAAGTACTCAGATCTTGTTATTCAGTAAAAGTAGAAGTACTCAGATCTTGTACTTGAGTAAAAGTAGAAGTACTCAGATTTTGTACTTGAGTAAAAGTAGAAGTACTCAGATCTTGTACTTGAGTAAAAGTAGAAGTACTCAGATCTTGTACTTGAGTAAAAGTAGAAGTACTCAGATCTTGTACTTGAGTAAAAGTAGAAGTACTCAGATCTTGTTATTCAGTAAAAGTAGAAGTACTCAGATCTTGTACTTGAGTAAAAGGAGAAGTACTCAGATGTTGTACTTGAGTAAAAGTAGAAGTACTCAGATCCTGTACTTAAGTAAAAGTAGAAGTACTCAGATCTTGTACTTGAGTAAAAGTAGAAGTACTCAGATCTTGTTATTCAGTAAAAGTAGAAGTACTCAGATCTTGTACTTGAGTAAAAGTAGAAGTACTCAGATATTGTACTTGAGTAAAAGTAGAAGTACTCGGATCTTGTTATTCAGTAAAAGTAGAAGTACTCAGATCTTGTACTTGAGTAAAATTAGAGGTACTCAGATCTTGTACTTGAGTAAAAGGAGAAGTACTCAGATTTTGTACTTGAGTAAAAGTAGAAGTACCAGAGTGTAGGAATACTCTGTTTCAGTAAAAGTCCTCCATTCAAAATGTTCCTCAAGTAAAAGTAGAAAAGTATTCTCATCAAAATATAGTGAAAGTAGCGACAGTAAAAGTAGTTGTTGTGCAGATTGGTCCATTTCAGAATAATATATATGATATGTTTTATAATGATTGATCATGAAAGTGTTCTCAAAGCTGGTGAAGGTGCAGCTAGTTTGAATGACTTTGTATACTGCAGGGTAGCTGGTGGATTTACTCCAGGTGGAACTAAAGTCTGATTTAACACTTGATTATATTTCACATCATTCATCCACATCTGTAAAGTAACTAAAGGTATTAAATACATGTAGTGGAGTAGAAGTACACCATTTACCTCTGAACTGTAGTGGAGAAGAAGTATGAGGTAGCAAAAAAAAATCCGTCAAAATTGTAGTACAGTACTTCAGTAAATGTACTTAAACCACTTTGAACATGTCTTATTTAATGTAAATGTTAATGCATGTGGTTTTATAACAGGTTGTCCCTGCTTCACTGTTCCTCACGAGAGGTGCTGCATCACTTCCTACATCACCTCTTCACGTGCTCTTTACCGGATGTCACAGATGTGTGTGAGAAGCACCAAAATATGGCGCTATCATTTTCAGCCAATGAGCTGCCCGCTTCTAACAGGTTGCAGCCGACGTCACTGCCGTGGCGGGACCGCGCATCCAGACTAGAGAGCTGTTGTGAGAGCGACGAAGCATCGGGGTCGCGCTCATCTGTTTAGCAAATGTGGTAACAGGCCGATCATCAGTATGTGGGACCCGGGACCCCGAGGAGGGATTGACCCTGAGCGACCGAGGAGGTTCATTCCGGGATAAAGAAACACATTTTAGTCCGGGTAACAACAAGCAGCTCCCCGCAGAGGAGGCGCTGTTTGCTGGGATTCAATCACAGCCTCTGAGTCGCGGCTTAACTACAGGAGACGAGTTTATAATCTGGATCCAGCTCCACTGCACGAATGATGGATGAAATGTCGATTAGCAGCCGGTCCGGGCAGCCTAACCCTGGCAGAGCAGGGGGGGTTCATCCGGAGTGAGATCCCGATTTTCCGCTCCTCCCAATGTCCACTTTCTCCCTGCAGACCGTGGTTTCAGCACCACTGGAGCTGGACAGCGACTGCATGGAACCCCGCGCGGCGGGACCGCACGAGCCCGGCTTCCAGGCTCGCTCTCTGGGGCACGCGGGCTCCGGAGGCCTCGGTATGGCCCTCGAGGAGGAACTGGCCATGCTGACAGGAGACCGGGACGACCAGGAGGAGTTACCCGACCAGGAGACGCCTTCGCCGGGGCAAAACGCAGACCTGCTGTCGCTGTTCCGTCAGAAGGAGAAAGACTTGGTTTTAGCTGCTAAACTCGGCAAAGCACTGCTGGAGAGAAACCAAGACTTGACCAAGCAATATGAGAAAATGCACAAAGATCTCAACGAGAAATTGGAGGTAAACTAAGTTACGAATGTTTGAATGTCCTCAAAATGACATAATCCTTGAGTCAAGTTTGAGCTGTAAACAAACTCCAGAGGGTCACAACAAAAGCTTCTCCACACCTAGCATGATGCTCCTTTTCTAATTGCATTAAATGTGCTATAAGATGGGAACTAGCTGCTAAAGTGTCTCTGTCATTACAGTGACCCACTGCCTAGCTCAAAGTAGCTGCAGCCAGAGGTGGAGGAAGTATTCAGATCCTTTACTTAGTAGTAATTATAGCACACTGTAAAGATAATCTGTAACAAGTAAGAGTCCTGCGTTGAAAATGTTAACTTAAGTAAAAGTAAGAAAGTATAATCAGCTAAATGTACTTTAAGTGTTAAATGTAAAAGTACCCAATGCAAGAAAAACTATAAAGAAACACCTTACAAAATCTATAAGAAAAAATATCTTTAAAATAATGAAATATTTAATAGATACATTTAAAAAAACACTCTAAAAAATGTTTAAAAAACAATATTAGAAGATTATGTAAAAAACGATTAAAATATGTAATAAATACGCATTAAATGTTTTTAAAACACATTTTAAAAACATCCTAAAATATATAAAAAAGTAGGTAAATCAACTGAACTCTTCTTTTATAAATTGTCTAGTTTACTTCATTGCAGTGAAAGTATTGAGCTAGTGCAGTACAGTGTAATAAATAGTACTCGGTACCCTGTGCCGAGAAATCTAAAATAAATGACAAGAAACACAACACTGTTAGGATGTTATCTCTACAGCACTTTTCAACACGAGGCAATTCAAAGTGCTTTACAAAAATGAAAGACATTAAGAGCATTAAGAAATAAACACATTATAAAAAGGCATTTAAAAACAGTCAATAGAGAATAACTGAGGCATTAAATACATTAAAGTTACAGAGCAGGTGAAGATGTTTTATCATGCTTTTATCGAAAGTGTGCTCTCCTTCGGCATCAGATGCTGGTTCGGCAACGCAACGGAGGCACAGAAAAAGTCAGTCAGGAGGGCCGTAACATTGTCCAGTAAATTGACAGGAATCTCATTTGCTAATATAGAATGCTTATATAAGGACAGAGTTTTAAAACTGGCACACAATATTGTGAGTGACCTGAGGCACCCTCTTGCCTCTTACTTTGAACTGTTGCCATCCGGGCGGAGATATCGTGCCCCTTATTTAAAAAAAGAACAGATCGAGGCTGTCTTTCGTCCCACAAGCCATCAAACTCCTGAATAAATGATGGCTAGGACGCACTGTTTACCCAGCTGGTCTGGCCCTGTCCCCCCTATTTCGCAAATGAGGGCCTATAGGCGCCTCGTCATGTCTGCCGATATCTGGTTTTCTTATGTCTGTTTGTTTTTATCTGTGTCTATGTTGTTGTCAGTGACGTATTGTCTTAACTTTTTTAAATGCCTCTGTGATGTGCTGCAACCCATTTTCCCCTTGGGGACAAATAAACGAATACTACTACATACTAGAGCAGTGTGAGATGTGAATAGTTCAATTAAAAGCAGCGGCAAAAAGAAAAGTCTTCAGGCTGGATTTGAAAGTAGTCAGAGTCGCAGCGGACCGGCAGATTTCTGGGAGTTAGTTCCAGATGTTTGGAGCAGAGTAACTGAACGTCTCCAGGTTTAGTTCTGACTCTGGGGACAGGAAGCTGACCGGAAGAGCGGAGAGTATTTTAGTCAATGTATTGAACATGTCAGAAACAAAACATAATAACAATATATATATATTCTTTTTTTCTCACTCATAATAATAACAAAGTACAACAAAAAATAATACAACAACAAATATATAATAATAATTCTCAAATAGTCTCGTCATGTTCAACAAGAAGAAGCTTAAACCGATCTGTTCTCCTCTCTAGCATTTTCCTTATCAATAAGATATTAGGTCATCGTCATCAGCGACGTGTTTGTCTTTTTACAAAACAATCAGAAAGAAATTACTTTTACAATGACAAGAAATAACAAATGGGATTGTACCGGTCCTGTTCAGAACATTCATGATTTGGCTCCTAAATAACCCTTTCAGTTTAGATGGACTTGTACAGTATTTCAGTGCATCACAGTCATCCACAGACTAACACCTGTATTTAGCAGGTGATCGGAAACGTATAGTGGCCCTAAACCATTCAATGCTTTATAAACCAGCAGCAGTATTTTGAAGTCTCTGACGGACAGGAAGCCAGTGTAAAGACTTCAGAACTGGAGTGAGTCATGTGAAGGTAAACTTCTGTTGTTGCAATGTTGAGGTAGAATGAAGGAGTCTGGAACGTCGATTAGCCAAAGCACTGAGAGTTTATTGATCACAGTACATTAATTACATACGGCCGGGAGATCATCTCAGTTTCACACTGTCCTGTGCTCCACCAAGATAATCTCTGAACCAAAGCCACAAAACATCGCTGCTACACGAGGAGAGGCCGGCCCACAGAAAGCCCGCGTTTACCTAATCAATAGCCGATGGGAGACAATGAACTACTTGTCTCAAAGAGATCCAGACAAGCCTCAACCCTCCCCCACGGATATAGGAGAAGCGTTTGACCTGTGACCTCAACTTACAGAGGAGTCCTTGAGTGACTACAAGCAGATGTTTGCAGTATCACAGATTCTAAGAAACAATAAGAAGCTCTATAAACAGATCAGATTAAAATATTCTCTTACAAGTCAGAGAGGACTCGAGCAGCAGCGTTTTCTAATCGGAGTTAGCCGATGCAGCTTTCTAATAGATGCTTCAGTGAGACCTGTAAAGACGTCATTACAGTAGTCCAGTCTACTGCAGATACAAGCATGGACAAGTGTTCCAAAGGAAACAGTATATCTTTGCATTGTACCAGAGTAGAAGTATCTCAAACGTGCACCTAGTACAGTACTTAGTTACATGCCGCCCCTGTGTGTGTGCAGTGCAATGACTGCAGTACAGATGAGCTTTTGTTGTTGTTGTTTTTAGAAATCCTTCACACACAGCAACACGTGGCGTGAGAAAAACACAAAGACTAATCCTGAGTGTGCAGGATACATCTGCTCAGCTCTGTGATCCAGATCCTCCTCCTGCTGCAGGAATGACCACCTGCCTCTTAATATCAAATCTAATATCAAACTCCTCTTATTGGTGCTGTTGATGCTCTCACTGTGGTGTGTGAGTGTGTTCATGCATTCAGACACATGCATACATAAAAACAAGTATCAATAATCAATAGTAAATGGATATTTTATAATAAGTTTAATGTGTTTTCTCTTTATTATTTGTATTTTGCACAAGCTGAGAGACAATCAAATGTTTATTCTGATTACATTATATTATAATGTTGTAGACACTTTATTTAGTGTTTGTTAATAATCACCCATTTATTTTTCAAATCATCTATAAATTATTTACAGGACGAAAAATCAATAATCCATTTGTGGTAAAGTCTTCGCTTTCTAGTGTTTATTACCGATAGTCTTTAAGATCATGTGGATAGGAGGTAACCACACAATTAAACATTAACAGACCAAATATCTGATATTCCATGTTATTATGGGCACTAAATTATTAAAATGACAAATTATAACATTTCATTGTTTGTTTACAGTCAAATTACTAATAACTACAGTTTAATGAATTATCAATTAACTTTTTTTTAATGATGGTTATAATAAACTAATGTGTTGTAGTGTCTCTACTTTAAAGAGTCCTCTCCTGCTGATGTTCAGGTGTATATCAGTATGTAGTGTCTCTACTTTAAAGAGTCATCTCCTGCTGATGTTCAGGTGTATATCAGTATGTAGTGTCTCTACTTTAAAGAGTCCTCTCCTGCTGATGTTCAGGTGTATATCAGTATGTAGTGTCTCTACTTTAAAGAGTCATCTCCTGCTGATGTTCAGGTGTATATCAGTATGTAGTGTCTCTACTTTAAAGAGTCCTCTCCTCCTGATGTTCAGGTGTATATCAGTATGTAGTGTCTCTACTTTAAAGAGTCCTCTCCTGCTGATGTCCAGGTGTATATCAGTATGTAGTGTCTCTACTTTAAAGAGTCCTCTCCTGCTGATGTCCAGGTGTATATCAGTATGTAGTGTCTCTACTTTAAAGAGTCCTCTCCTGCTGATGTGCAGGTGTATATCAGTATGTAGTGTCTCTACTTTAAAGAGTCCTCTCCTGCTGATGTTCAGGTGTATATCAGTATGTAGTGTCTCTACTTTAAAGAGTCATCTCCTGCTGATGTTCAGGTGTATATCAGTATGTAGTGTCTCTACTTTAAAGAGTCATCTCCTGCTGATGTTCAGGTGCATATCAGTATGTAGTGTCTCTACTTTAAAGAGTCCTCTCCTCCTGATGTTCAGGTGTATATCAGTATGTAGTGTCTCTACTTTAAAGAGTCCTCTCCTGCTGATGTCCAGGTGTATATCAGTATGTAGTGTCTCTACTTTAAAGAGTCCTCTCCTGCTGATGTTCAGGTGTATATCAGTATGTAGTGTCTCTACTTTAAAGAGTCCTCTCCTGCTGATGTTCAGGTGTATATCAGTATGTAGTGTCTCTACTTTAAAGAGTCCTCTCCTGCTGATGTTCAGGTGTATATCAGTATATAGTGTCTCTACTTTAAAGAGTCCTCTCCTGCTGATGTTCAGGTGTATATCAGTACGTAGTGTCTCTACTTAAAGAGTCCTCTCCTGCTGATGTTCAGGTGTATATCAGTATGTAGTGTCTCTACTTTTAAAGAGTCCTCTCCTGCTGATGTTCAGGTGTATATCAGTATGTAGTGACTCTACTTTAAAGAGTCCTCTCCTGCTGATGTCCAGGTGTATATCAGTATGTAGTGTCTCTACTTTAAAGAGTCCTCTCCTGCTGATGTTTCAGGTGTATATCAGTATGTAGTGTCTCTACTTTAAAGAGTCCTCTCCTGCTGATGTTCAGGTGTATATCAGTATGTAGTGTCTCTACTTTAAAGAGTCCTCTCCTGCTGATGTTCAGGTATATATCAGTATGTAGTGTCTCTACTTTAAAGAGTCCTCTCCTGCTGATGTTCAGGTGTATATCAGTATGTAGTGTCTCTACTTTAAAGAGTCCTCTCCTGCTGATGTTCAGGTGTATATCAGTATGTAGTGTCTCTACTTTAAAGAGTCCTCTCCTGCTGATGTTCAGGTGTATATCAGTATGTAGTGTCTCTACTTTAAAGAGTCCTCTCCTGCTGATGTTCAGGTGTATATCAGTATGTAGTGTCTCTACTTTAAAGAGTCCTCTCCTGCTGATGTTCAGGTGTATATCAGTGTGTAGTGCCTCTACTTTAAAGAGTCCTCTCCTGCTGATGTTCAAGTGTATATCAGTGTGTAGTGCCTCTACTTTAAAGAGTCCTCTCCTGCTGATGTTACATTACATTACATTACATTGCATTTAGCTGACGCTTTTATCCAAAGCGACTTACAATAAGTACATTCGACCAGGAAGACACAACCTTGAAGAAAACAGAATCATATAAGTACATCAGGTTTCATAGAGCCAAACATTTCAAGTGCTACTCAACTGGCTTTAGGTAAGCCAGTCCTTTATTAGTATAAAAGTGCTTCGTTAATAGTTCTATCGCTCGAAGTGGAGTCGAAAGAGATGAGTTTTCAGTTTGCGCCGGAAGATGTGCAAGCTATCTGCCGTCCTGATGTCAATGGGGAGCTCATTCCACCATCTTGGAGCCAGGACAGCAAACCCACGTGTTTTCGCCGATGGGAACTTGGGTCCCCCTCGCAGTGCGGGCGCAACGAGTCGTTTGGCTGATGCAGAGCGTAGTGCACGCGCTGGGGTGTACGGATTAACCATGTCCTGGATGTAGGAAGGGCCAGATCCATTCGCAGCATGGTAAGCAAGTACCAGTGTCTTGAAGTGGATTCTAGCAGTTACCGGAAGCCAGTGAAGGGAGCGGAGGAGTGGTGTGGGAGAATTTAGGAAGGTTGAAAACCAGACGAGCCGCTGCATTCTGGATGAGCTGCAGAGGTCGGATGGCACATGCAGGTAGACCAGCCAGGAGGGAGTTGCAGTAGTCTAGGCGTGAGATGACGAGAGCCTGGACCAGAACCTGAGTCGCTTTCTGAGTCAGCTGGGGACGTATCCTCCTGATGTTGTAAAGCGTGTATCTGCAGCAGCGGGTTGTAGCAGCTATGTTTGCAGTGAAGGACAGGTTGTTATCTAGGGTCACACCCAGATTCCTTGCAGTCTGAGTCGGGGAAACAACTGAGGTGCCGATGTTGATTGTCAGGTCAAGAGTTGGACAATCTTTTCCCGGGAGGAAGAGCAGCTCAGTCTTGTCAAGGTTGAGCTTGAGGTGGTGAGCAGACATCCACTGAGAGATGTCAGCTAGACAAGCAGAGATGCGTGCGACGACCTGGGTCTCTGAGCGGGGAAAGGACAGAATTAATTGGGTGTCATCAGCGTAGCAGTGGGTAAGAAAAACCATGGCGGGCTAATGACTGATCCGAGCGAGTTTGTGTACAGGGAGAAGAGGAGGGGACCAAGAACGGAGCCCTGAGGGACCCCCGTAGTTAATTGACAAGGGTCGGACTCAGACCCTCTCCAAGTCACCCTGTAGGTACGGTCTTTCAGGTATGAGGTGAGGAGGGAAAGTGCAGAGCCTGAAACTCCAAGTTTTTGGAGAGTGCGAAGGAGGATCTGATGATTCACCGTGTCGAATGCAGCAGACAGGTCCAACAGGATGATGACAGAGGAGAGGGATGCAGTTTTGGCAGTGTGCAGTTCCTCCGTGACAGCAAGGAGAGCAGTTTCTGTGGAGTGACCTGCCTTGAAACCAGACTGGTGCGGATCCAGAAGGTTGTTCTGATTGAGATAACAGGAGAGTTGTTTAAAGACAGCGCGTTCAAGTGATTTAGACAGGAACGGGAGGAGAGAGACAGGCCTGTAGTTTATAACATCTGACGGGTTGAGAGTGGGTTTCTTTAGGAGAGGGTTTACTCTTGCCTCCTTGAGACTGTTTGGAAAGTGACCAGAAGTTAGAGAAGTGTTGATGAAATGGGTGAGAAACGGTAGAATATCAGGAGCGATAGTCTGAAGGAGGTTTGAAGGGATAGGGTCCAGAGGACAGGTGGTAGGGCGGGCAGAGGTAATGAGGGTAAGAACCTCACTTGGAGAGAGAGGGGAAAAGGAGGTTAGTGTGTTGGTGGAAGGAAGGTCTGATGACCCAGCGGTGAGTAAAGGTGAGTCAGAAAAAGAAGAGCGAATATCATTAACCTTTTTTTCAAAGTGGGTAACAAAGTCGCTTGACAGAAGTGAGGAGGGGGGAGGAGCTTTTGGAGGGTCCAAGAGGGTGGAGAAGATGGAAAATAGTTTTTTAGGATTGGAATAGGAAGATTGGATCTTATCTTGAAAGAAAGTGCTTTTTGCCTGAGAGATCGAAGCAGAGAAAGAGGAGAGGAGAGCTTGATAGGTTAGGAGGTCGTATGTTCAGGTGTATATCAGTATGTAGTGTCTCTACTTTAAAGAGTCCTCTCCTGCTGATGTTCAGGTGTATATCAGTATGTAGTGTCTCTACTTTAAAGAGTCCTCTCCTGCTGATGTTCAGGTGTATATCAGTATGTAGTGTCTCTACTTTAAAGAGTCCTCTCCTGCTGATGTTCAGGTGTATATCAGTATGTCGTGTCTCTACTTTAAAGAGTCCTCTCCTGCTGATGTTCAGGTGTATATCAGTATGTAGTGTCTCTACTTTAAAGAGTCATCTCCTGCTGATGTTCAGGTGTATATCAGTATGTAGTGTCTCTACTTTAAAGAGTCCTCTCCTGCTGATGTTCAGGTGTATATCAGTATGTAGTGTCTCTACTTTAAAGAGTCCTCTCCTGCTGATGTTCAGGTGTATATCAGTATGTAGTGTCTCTACTTTAAAGAGTCCTCTCCTGCTGATGTTCAGGTGTATATCAGTATGTAGTGTCTCTACTTTAAAGAGTCCTCTCCTGCTGATGTTCAGGTGTATATCAGTATGTAGTGTCTCTACTTTAAAGAGTCCTCTCCTGCTGATGTTCAGGTGTATATCAGCATGTAGTGTCTCTACTTTAAAGAGTCCTCTCTTGCTGATGTTCAGGTATATATCAGTATGTAGTGTCTCTACTTTAAAGAGTCCTCTCCTGCTGATGTTCAGGTGTATATCAGTATGTAGTGTCTCTACTTTAAAGAGTCCTCTCCTGCTGATGTTCAGTGTGTATATCAGTATGTAGTGTCTCTACTTTAAAGAGTCCTCTCCTGCTGATGTTCAGGTGTATATCAGTATGTAGTGTCTCTACTTTAAAGAGTCCTCTCCTGCTGATGTTCAGGTGTATATCAGTATGTAGTGTCTCTACTTTAAAGAGTCCTCTCCTGCTGATGTTCAGGTGTATATCAGTATGTAGTGTCTCTACTTTAAAGAGTCCTCTCCTGCTGATGATCAGGTGTATATCAGTATGTAGTGTCTCTACTTTAAAGAGTCCTCTCCTGCTGATGTTCAGGTGTATATCAGTATGTAGTGTCTCTACTTTAAAGAGTCCTCTCCTGCTGATGTTCAGGTGTATATCAGTATGTAGTGTCTCTACTTTAAAGAGTCCTCTCCTGCTGATGTTCAGGTGTATATCAGTATGTAGTGTCTCTACTTTAAAAGAGTCCTCTCCTGCTGATGTTCAGGTGTATATCAGTATGTAGTGTCTCTACTTTAAAGAGTCCTCTCCTGCTGATGATCAGGTGTATATCAGTATGTAGTGTCTCTACTTTAAAGAGTCCTCTCCTGCTGATGTTCAGGTGTATATCAGTATGTAGTGTCTCTACTTTAAAGAGTCCTCTCCTGCTGATGTTCAGGTGTATATCAGTATGTAGTGTCTCTACTTTAAAGAGTCCTCTCCTGCTGATGTTCAGGTGTATATCAGTATGTAGTGTCTCTACTTTAAAAGAGTCCTCTCCTGCTGATGTTCAGGTGTATATCAGTATGTAGTGTCTCTACTTTAAAGAGTCCTCTCAGGTCCTAACTAACTACAGGAAAGGGAAAACCCAAAAAGCATGATATGACATCTTTAAAGATTTTATTGGAGCGTGTTTCTGTAGATTTAGGTAAAAACTGTAAATCAGGGGAGTCCAAACCGCGGCCCATTTTGAATCGGCCCTCAGCAAATTCAAAAAGTATAATGGAGTACGGCCCACGAATGAAACTTGTGCGAGTCTTATATTGTACTTTTTAAATAGAAATGTAAACATATATCGCACAGTAGTATTCATGTGTTAATAAAATCACTTTTCAAATACATTCAGTCAATTCAAGTTGGAAACATTTTCTGACATATCTTAGTTGATAAGAAAAAAGCCCTGTAACTTATTTACAAGCTTGAAATACACCCTTCCTATTCCTCCTTATCATCATCAATCTGAGGCTTCTGTTTTAAGGGATGAGCTGGTAACACTCACAAACATCCTTTACCTACTTTGGATTGATTTGGCTAACTTATAACTGAACTTATGAAGCAGTATACTTCTAGTGAGCGGCCCAGCCCTTCGTATATTTGTCTCTATGTGGCCCTCTGTGAAAAAAGTTTGGACACCGCTGATGTAAATCAATAAAAGGTTTAATCATACACCTTTTCTCCCGTTGTCTTCATGCAGCACTTGGAGCAGGAGAAGCACGAGCTGCGCCGGCGTCTGGAGCGTCGGGAGGGCGAGTGGGAGGGCGGCGTGGCCGAGCTGGAGGCCGACGTGCAGCAGCTACAGGGAGAACTGGATCAGAACCAGCTGCAGCTGAGGGAGGCCGAGAGGGACAAGAGCACGGCCATCAGAGAGCTGTCCAATCAGAACCACCGGCTGCTGGAGCAACTCAGCAGGGTGAGAGAGTGTGTGTGTGTGTGTGTGTGTGTGTGTGTGTGTGTGTGTGTGTGTGTGTGTGTGTGTGTGTGTGTGTGTGTGTGTGTGTGTGTGTGTGTGTGTGTGTGTGTGTGTGTGTGACGTGAGTCAACGTTTTAGCACTTCCTGTTCCCTTGTTTATATATATCTTTTAAATTAATTGAAATCATGCAAACAAAATGTAGTCCTTTAAGATACGTTAACTATTTACGTGTTCTTATTGCATTTACAATTTATAATTAACAAAAGTGGGGTTGATTTTTTTTAAGCACTTTCTGCATAGGGTGCTTTTAAATGTAATACTTAAACTTTATTCTACACATTGATTGAAATAAGCCAACATCTATATCTTGGTGTGTATTAGAGCAGTGGTTCTCAACTGGTCACGCCTCGGGACCCACTTTTTCCTTTGTCAGTAAATCGCAACCCAACATTTTTGAACCACTCAAATCTATTCAACAAAATATCGTGCTGTAATTTATACGCTTTTTAGCATATATTAATTAAAGTAAAGTGCAGTGCATAAATCCCTTATATCCCTTCACAGAACTAAAGTATGCTTTTAAATAAGGTTTAATGAGATGATGGAATTAAAGCTGAACTATATAACATGAAAAGGCACACGTGCTGAAAACCCAACCCCAGCTGGGGGTCTGGGGGGATTCTCCCCCAGGAGATCTTTAGAAATACTAACATATAAACTACCCATTCTGGTAGACTCAGAGACGAAAATAAATAAATCTATTACTACCCGACATATTAATAATATTTACTGCCATTCATTTCACTTTGTTCTGACAGCTGAGCTTGTCTGTGTGCATTGTGGGTAGGGTAGATAGCCCCCATTGTTCTGTGACCTGTCAATCATCAAACCGGGGGTCATATTTCATTATGTGTTCATTGTTATCTGAAGTTGTACCCATGGATGTATAAAGAATAGTTGTACCGCTAAGTTATTCTCCGTGGGGACTTCCGGCACAATCTTGATTCTGATTGGCCAGAAGACTCGAAAAAACATCAGCAAAGATGTTTTATTGAGAAGATGATCACTACGTGACAGAAGTTTTCAAAAGCGTTTATGGTCTCCGGTACTTCCAGTCAAACGCACACTGCATGCACAGCGTTAGAAAATCGGGCCTTCAAAATAAAAGTTTGACTTTGATGAGCTTCAGTCCAGGGAGGAATCAACTGTAGCTACAGACGCTAGCACTTTTAGCCTCTTTAGCCCAATCTCAGTTCCTCAGTACAGCCTCCAGTCGCTCTGCCAGCTCTGAGCGCTGCGTTATGTATTTAGGATTGAATATCCGGACATTTTCTGCTCTGCCTGTCACAATACCTGCACTCAAATTACCTGCCAATATGCAGAGTGCTGTTGCATAAGTGTGCCGTCTGATCATTCTGCAATCTGCATTATTCAACATAAAAACCCTGAAAGTCTACTTTTATAATGATGAGTTCAGTTAAGAGAGGCAGGCTGAAGGAGGATGACACACACACACACACACACACACACGGTGCAAAGTTGCTTAAAGCAGCATTAAGACCATGTGACACGGTGACTCAAAGCCCAGAGTAATGCTGCAGGGATGACGTGTTTTTGTAGTGCAACCCTGAAGGCAGCATCTCTCTGGTTCCTTCCTCAAAAAGATACTGGGAATTTCCTCTTTAAAGTAGAGACACTACATACTGATATACACCTGAACATCAGCAGGAGAGGACTCTTTAAAGTAGAGACACTACATACTGATATACACCTGAACATCAGCAGGAGAGGACTCTTTAAAGTAGAGACACTACATACTGATATACACCTGAACATCAGCTGGAGAGGACTCTTTAAAGTAGAGACACTACATACTGATATACACCTGAACATCAGCAGGAGAGGACTCTTTAAAGTAGAGACACTACATACTGATATACACCTGAACATCAGCAGGAGATGACTCTTTAAAGTAGAGACACTACATACTGATATACACCTGAACATCAGCTGGAGAGGACTCTTTAAAGTAGAGACACTACATACTGATATACACCTGAACATCAGCAGGAGAGGACTCTTTAAAGTAGAGACACTACATACTGATATACACCTGAACATCAGCAGGAAAGGACTCTTTAAAGTAGAGACACTACATACTGATACACACCTGAACATCAGCAGGAGAGGACTCTTTAAAGTAGAGACACTAAATACTGATATACACCTGAATATCAGCAGGAGAGGACTCTTTAAAGTAGAGACACTACATACTGATATACACCTGAACATCAGCTGGAGAGGACTCTTTAAAGTAGAGACACTACATACTGATATACACCTGAACATCAGCTGGAGAGGACTCTTTAAAGTAGAGACACTACATACTGATATACACCTGAACATCAGCTGGAGAGGACTCTTTAAAGTAGAGGCACTACATACTGATATACACCTGGACATCAGCTGGAGACGACTCTTTAAAGTAGAGACACTGCATACTGATATACACCTGAACATCAGCAGGAGAGGACTCTTTAAAGTAGAGACACTACATACTGATATACACCTGAACATCAGCAGGAGAGGACTCTTTAAAGTAGAGACACTACATACTGATATACACCTGAACATCAGCTGGAGAGGACTCTTTAAAGTAGAGACACTACCTACTGATATACACCTGAACATCAGCTGGAGAGGACTCTTTAAAGTAGAGACACTACATACTGATATACACCTGAACATCAGCAGGAGAGGACTCTTTAAAGTAGAGACACTACATACTGATATACACCTGAACATCAGCTGGAGAGGACTCTTTAAAGTAGAGACACTGCATACTGATATACACCTGAACATCAGCTGGAGAGGACTCTTTAAAGTAGAGACACTACATACTGATATACACCTGAACATCAGCTGGAGAGGACTCTTTAAAGTAGAGACACTACATACTGATATACACCTGAACATCAGCTGGAGAGGACTCTTTAAAGTAGAGACACTACATACTGATATACACCTGAACATCAGCAGGAGAGGACTCTTTAAAGTAGAGACACTACATACTGATATACACCTGAACATCAGCAGGAGATGACTCTTTAAAGTAGAGACACTACATACTGATATACACCTGAACATCAGCTGGAGAGGACTCTTTAAAGTAGAGACACTACATACTGATATACACCTGAACATCAGCAGGAGAGGACTCTTTAAAGTAGAGACACTACATACTGATATACACCTGAACATCAGCAGGAAAGGACTCTTTAAAGTAGAGACACTACATACTGATACACACCTGAACATCAGCAGGAGAGGACTCTTTAAAGTAGAGACACTAAATACTGATATACACCTGAATATCAGCAGGAGAGGACTCTTTAAAGTAGAGACACTACATACTGATATACACCTGAACATCAGCTGGAGAGGACTCTTTAAAGTAGAGACACTACATACTGATATACACCTGAACATCAGCTGGAGAGGACTCTTTAAAGTAGAGACACTACATACTGATATACACCTGAACATCAGCTGGAGAGGACTCTTTAAAGTAGAGACACTACATACTGATATACACCTGGACATCAGCTGGAGACGACTCTTTAAAGTAGAGACACTGCATACTGATATACACCTGAACATCAGCAGGAGAGGACTCTTTAAAGTAGAGACACTACATACTGATATACACCTGAACATCAGCAGGAGAGGACTCTTTAAAGTAGAGACACTACATACTGATATACACCTGAACATCAGCTGGAGAGGACTCTTTAAAGTAGAGACACTACCTACTGATATACACCTGAACATCAGCTGGAGAGGACTCTTTAAAGTAGAGACACTACATACTGATATACACCTGAACATCAGCAGGAGATGACTCTTTAAAGTAGAGACACTACATACTGATATACACCTGAACATCAGCTGGAGAGGACTCTTTAAAGTAGAGACACTGCATACTGATATACACCTGAACATCAGCTGGAGAGGACTCTTTAAAGTAGAGACACTACATACTGATATACACCTGAACATCAGCTGGAGAGGACTCTTTAAAGTAGAGACACTACATACTGATATACACCTGAACATCAGCTGGAGAGGACTCTTTAAAGTAGAGACACTACATACTGATATACACCTGAACATCAGCTGGAGAGGACTCTTTAAAGTAGAGACACTACATACTGATATACACCTGAACATCAGCTGGAGAGGACTCTTTAAAGTAGAGACACTACCTACTGATATACACCTGAACATCAGCTGGAGAGGACTCTTTAAAGTAGAGACACTACATACTGATATACACCTGAACATCAGCTGGAGAGGACTCTTTAAAGTAGAGACACTACCTACTGATATACACCTGAACATCAGCAGGAGAGGACTCTTTAAAGTAGAGACACTACATACTGATATACACCTGAACATCAGCTGGAGAGGACTCTTTAAAGTAGAGACACTACATACTGATATACACCTGAACATCAGCTGGAGAGGACTCTTTAAAGTAGAGACACTACCTACTGATATACACCTGAACATCAGCTGGAGAGGACTCTTTAAAGTAGAGACACTACATACTGATATACACCTGAACATCAGCAGGAGAGGACTCTTTAAAGTAGAGACACTAAATACTGATATACACCTGAACATCAGCAGGAGAGGACTCTTTAAAGTAGAGACACTACATACTGATATACACCTGAACATCAGCAGGAGAGGACTCTTTAAAGTAGATACACTACATACTGATATACACATGAACATCAGCAGGAGAGGACTCTTTAAAGTAGAGACACTACATACTGATATACACCTGAACATCAGCTGGAGAGGACTCTTTAAAGTAGAGACACTACATACTGATATACACCTGAACATCAGCAGGAGAGGACTCTTTAAAGTAGAGACACTACATACTGATATACACCTGAACATCAGCTGGAGAGGACTCTTTAAAGTAGAG